CCCCTGGCCCCCCGCCCCCCTCGGAGGACACGGGCAAGCTCGCCAGTGGAAGGGCACAGGGCAGCCAAACGACTGAGCCCAGTGCAACCGTCCTGGGAGCAGGACGTCACTTCAGAGAGAAGGACCCCAGGGGCCGAAGTGCAGGGATGGACAAGGTGGCCCGCATGAGCAGGTCCAGACAGTCACTAGAGACAGAGGTTGCTCCCCCGGACCATCGGAGGGGGCTGCGCTCAGGGGAGTAGGGGTGAGTGCCGCACAGGCAGGGGAACACACGCTCAGAGGGGTGCCCGTCGGTCAGCCCTCCCGCCTACCCACCTGCCCTTCAGCCCTCCTTCCCAACATGCCCAGTTTCGGCAGCGGCACCACCCTGGGTTCCCGCAGTCACGACCCCTACCCTCCCCATGGAGCCTGCCGGGACACCCAGTGGATGCACCCAAGAAAGCAGAGGCTGTGCCAACTCAGCCTGTCTGCAGCCGTCCACCCTCATCCCTGCCCACAATGGGGACACGGCGGACCCCTCTGGGCCCTGGAGGAGGTATGGAGTGTGCTGGGAGCCAACTCCGGCCTGGACCCAGGAGAGCGTGCAGGGCCCGAGCGGCCGAGGCCCCAGCAGCGGCACAGTGGGCAAGCGCACCCCGGCCCAGCTCACAGCCCCGCGGTGCTCCAGGCAGCCAGGAGGTGCTGCGAGGGTCTGGGCACTCCTGTGGGACACAGGCCTGAGAACACGGTCCTGGTGGCAGCAGGCCTGGTGGCACTGGCAGAGGCCACCAGTCTCATTGGAAGGAACCATGATGCCGGTCAGCGGGCACCACGTGGCGACTGCAGCCCACTGGCCAGTGTACAAGGGCAAGCAGGGCCGGCATGCCAACCAAGGCGAAGCGGCCCCTGGGGTCGAGCCCGTGGGCCCGGGGAACACCCCAGCCGTGTCAGCTGCCACTATGGCCCATAGCACATGCACCTATGACAGCACACCAATGACCACGTGACAGAAAGGAAGAAGCCACAGTCAGCTCACAGCAGGGTGGCCTCGGCCCATGGACAGACTGTGCCACGCGCCACAGCCGTGCGGGAAAGCAGTGCGCGATGGCTGGAGGCAGGCCCGCTGTCAGCACAGGACAGGCCAGAGCCCAGCAGGGCACCAGGGCCAGCAGGCCATGGCCGAGAGTCCCACGCCAGAGCAGGCACCGGGCTGCACTGGAGGGGACGCCTGTCTGGGCCCTAAGCCTCCACCACCATGGCTGCCCACGACAACAGCATGAAGCGCCACACAGGTCTTGCGACGCCACGAGGCCCTGGCTAAGTGCAGGTGGAATGTGACCTGCAACTCAGCACCAAGGAGGGCACCAGGCAGGGTTCCAAGAGTGGCCAGATGGAGGTGGCCAGCCCACAAGACAGAGCAGGTCGCCGCCTCTCAGGTGACGAGAACCCCGTGGGTTCCTGCATGAGAAGGCAGAGCGGCCCGAGCCGGGCTGCAGGGAGCTGGCTGCAGCACCGGACAGTGCAAGGACGCGAGGGCAGTGATGGCCGGGCACCGCTGGAGGGGGTCATGCCATGCAGGAGGTCCAGGCGAGTCCCCAAGCTGACCAGGTGAGTGCAGACTGCTCTGGACGCGTGGGAAATGTCCCCCCACCCCAGCTCGCTCTCGTGTAAAAAGTAAAAAGCTAAGAACAGACTCGAGCCGAGAACAGAGGTGGCAACAGGGGACCAAGGGCTGGCCTGGTCAGCACGAAGCCGTGAGGGATGCAGCTGCATGGCCATAGAGCTTCTGGTGAGAGGACAAACTGACGTGTGTGGAGGAGAGGACGCCAGGCCACCTGGAGCCGAGGGGACCGCCGACTGGCACACGGCAGGGGAGGCTGCTATCCGCTAACCTCGACACCCTTTCTTTGCCTTGTTGTAAAGTGTAACACACTCACAGAACACATGAAAACACACGAACTGGATGGGTAATTACAAAGCAAGACCCACGTCCCACTATGCCACTGAGCCAGCAGGGAGCCCCAGGCCCAGGGAGCGCCAGCTGGCCCTGGGCGGGAACGCCTCCCCACTAGCGACTTCTCCTGCTGCCCAGGTTCGGATGCCTGCTCCCGACAGCCGCCCAGCTCTCTGCGAGCGACACCCCCACTGCCGTGCCGTGGCTGCAGCCTGTGCCCTCCACGGCGGCAGTGCCCAACCTGAGTCCCGTCTACCCTGCACACGAGCAGGGCTGCTCCCAGCATGCCTCGCCCCCTCTCCAGGCCCAGGGCCAAGCTGCCAGGAGTGTGCCCAGCGTGGCCCACCCCCCAGGGGCCCACTCGTGGGCGGGGGTGAGCGCGGGGCCGCGTGCCTGTGTGCTCACGGGCCAGCGCTCACCGAGCGCCCTCCGCTCCCTGGGCCACCGGCCGCCTGCACAGAGCACTGCACGTCTCGTTCGCTCCCTCCTGGGACTGTCGTTCTCACTGACGTGAGCCGTGTGTCCCAAATACTCGATGTCTGTCATGCACGTGCCAGCATGCTTCTCTCAGAGCCACTGCGGTCTTCTTCTGTGTTTATCACCCTTTAACAGCAGATCTGAACTTCACCATGGCTGAATTACCAGTCTGTCTTTACAGCTGATTTTTCCTGTATTATAAGAAATCGTTTCCTAACCCAAGGTCGTGAAGATGTCCTCCTGTCACCCTGGAGCTACCTGGATTGTTGGGGCGAAAGAGCCCACTTGGCAGGAAGTTCAGAGGGTGCAGCGGCCCTGGTGGCTGGGCAGAGCTGCGCTGAGCAGGAGTTAGCACGGCCCTGCCCCGGCTGCAGCCTGGCTGCATTCTGCTCCGCAGGGGCAGGCGGCCCAGCACTGCCCAGAGGAGGGCCCTTCCTGGGCTGGGGGAGGGCTCTTCAGGTCACTCCGACAGAAGCCGCCCCGTCAGAGCACGGGAGAGCCGAGATCAGGCACAGGCGCTCCGAGAGAAGCTACTCCCAGGCCAGAACCACTGCCGTTGACAGCGGGGACCGGCCCCGGGACCCTGAGCAGGCCTGGCGTCTCGCAAAGTTGTTGCTGGTGACCTGGGGACGCTGGTCACTCACCATCGCGCAGCTCCTGGACGTCCCTGGGCTGAACGAACTCGGGCTTCACGTTCTCGAACCACCAGAAGAGCTCAGCAATGAACACCATGACGTTGGGCTAGGGATGGACGCGGTGGTGAGCGGCAGCCCGGCCCTGGCGCCCGTCCGAAGCGCCCCGAACGCGGCCTCACCTTCAGCACCGGGGGCGCGCACAGCATGTCCTCCAGGGCGAGGTGGAAGCACTTGTTGAGGTACTCGCTGGAGAACTCCCTCAGCAGGCGCACGTTGTACAGGCGGTCAGCCGTCGACATGGCCTCCTTCAGGCAGATGTCTGACGGGCAGGAGGGAGACAGCCATCACGCACGGGCCCTCCCCCACGCGCGCACGTGTGCACGTCTCGGGACTCGAACCGTTTCTATGGAGGGCTGAAGTGAGTGAAGGAAGCTGAGGAGGGTGGGGAGACCGGCAGGGCCTGGACTCCGCAATGTCCCCGGGCAGCTCCTCCTGCAGAGGCTGGACCCAGTGCCCTTGCCGCTCTCCGGGCAGGGCCAGGGCGGGGCAGGGGCCAGCTCACTCCCAGGCTGACCCCCTCCCTCCTCTGCACCACCTTCCCATCGGCTCACTCACCGTCCAGTCTGGACGGAGCTGGCGCTTCGGTCCCTCTCTGTCTTGGTGTCTGTGGACTGGGGGGCCCCCCTCCTCTCCTCGGTCTGCTTCCCCTCCCCTTGCCCCGCCAGGCCCAGCTGGCCCGTCTTCCAGCAGGAGCCCTGGGTGGGGCACACCATCCCGATGGCGCTCTGAGCTGCCCGCAAGCTGCGCCGGGGGTGGGCAAGGCGCTCGCTCCCTCCAGACGCTGCGCGGCAGCATCAGAAGCCTGCCCTGGTGGAGCAGCTCGAGCAGGGCCCACATGTCAGACCGTGCTGGCGACAAGCCTGGCAGCCCTGCGCCTGGGGAGTGTGCAGACCCGGCTCTGCTGCAGTCCCAACTTCCCTTCCCCACGTGTCCCTACCTTTGGGAAAGGCATCCACCCCATGATGGCTGGGCAAGGCCATAACTGCGTTGGCCTCTCCCACAGTCTGGCCCGGTGCTCTGTCACTCACGTGGGCTACCAAAGCCACAAGGGCCCTCCCTGCATCCCTGCACTGCGTGGGACCTGCTGGCACTCTGCCCTTAGGCATGGTGAGCTTTGTCTTGCCAATGGCAACACTGCTGTCCCAGGACACCACCAGGGACCAGGCCGAACGGCAGGGCCAATCGCAACTCAAGGCAGAGCAGAACTGGCCCTCGGGCTGCAGGCCCGGGAGCATCTGGACGTGGCTGAGGGGAAGGAGAGGCCATCGAGAGCGAGGGGCAGGCCGCACGCCCAAAGCCACTGCCCATCCCCCAGAGCTGTCACCCTGTGTCCTTCCCCACGCCCTGATGCCACCTGCCACGGTGCCCGCAGGCTCTGTGGGGCCGAGCACCGTGCTCTGACCTCGCACTTCATGGCAGGGTCCTCCTGCCGTGGGCACCAGCAGCCCGGGCTCGTGGCATGCCCTGCAGGGCAATCACCAGCCAGGGCCACGGCCCGCGCTCCCAGGCCAATGTCTGCGCAGACCGTGCCGGTGCATTCCAGCTGGGCTCTGTCTCCTACATGAAGGTCCCCACCCGTGAGCCCAGGGTGACGTCGCTGCCTCTGCTGGGGGCCCCTGCCCGGGCAGGCCCTCTCCACTGCACACAGCCCAAGGCCAGAGGAAGACGGAAACAAGGCGCAACAGCCCCACCCACCCACGTGGCCACTCGGGTGTCAAAGGTAGGACCCTCTTGATGCCCGGCAGCGCAGTCTCTCATGTGCAGCTGGACCCAGGTGGTGGTCAGCACCCCTGTCCCCAGAGCAGCACCAGGCCAGCCATGGCTCCACCAGCACCTGGGCACGCTCGCCGGCCCGCAGCTGCCTGCTTCAGGAAGAGGGTGCGGTGGCCAGGCACTGAGCCGGCGCGCTCCGCCCTGCGGACAACACGCCATGCTGTTGGGGTAAGCACTGAGCGCGTGGCCGCTGCTCACGAGCGGCAGGTGGACAGCTGGGATCCCGTGTCAGCTCTCAGCCAGGCTAGGCTCCAGGCTCTTCACAACTGGGAAGCGCTTACAAAACGCTATTAAGGGAACCAGCAGTTAGCGTAATGGCTATGTTGCTGGACTCCCACGTAGTCGACCGCGGTTCGTGTCCCGGACCCGGTGGCTTAAAACTCACGCCGGGCGCGTGTGCGTGTGTGCCCAAGATCCCGAGAGGA